ACCCTAATTTTGGATCCTCTTGACTTTTTGTTTGTTTTAGTCATCTTTGGGTGAGCTAAAAATTAATGTACAAAGAACTCATATATTATATTTACTGGGGTATGGATTGTGGGGTTGCTGGAGAAGGTCTGAGTTTCTTTTGTGTTTCCTTCTTTTACGTAAAGGAAGTTTTGTCTTCATCTTTTGCCATAAAATGTATCAGCAATGTTATCTTCATTGGTTGCCATTTTAGACTTTAGGGGTGGAAAGAATAAATCTTCTACTTTTGCAGCCTAAGAATTTGTATCTGCTAAGTGGCAAATTAAAGGATAGGACTTTGATTTGACTCCTTGTTCAGTGCTCTTTCTACCATATTATACTTTCATTTAAATGAAATAGAAGTATTTTCACCTAAATGGAAAACACAGTTTGATGATTTTGGTTATCAACATGATAATGTTGATACAGAATTTTATCACATATATTTTACTTTTTTGAACAGGTAATACATACACAGAGTACTAAAGGTGTATATACAAGTAAGTCTCCCTTAGCCCCACCCCTAGCCATAGCAGGCCACAACTGCTCAGTGGATATGTTCCATATATTCCTCTGTTGGTTTGCTGAAGTGGCAGTGTAATATGTCAACTTTTACATACTTTGCTTTTTCCGCTTATAAATGTGGGTTAGGGCCGGGCACAGTGGCTCATGCCTGTAATCCCAGCACTTTGGGAGGCCGAGGCGGGTGGATCACCTGAGGTCAGGAGTTCGAGACCAGCCTGATCAACATGGAGAAACCCCGTCTCTACTAAAAATACAAAACAATTAGCCAGACGTGGTGGTGTATGCCTGTAATCCCAGCTACTTGGGAGGCTGAGGCAGGAAAATCACTTGAACCTGGGAGGCGGAGGTTGCAGTGAGCCGAGACTGCGCCATTACACTCCAGCCTGGGCAATAAAAGTGAAACTTCGTGTCAAAAAAAAAAAAAAAAAAAAAAAAAAAACGTGAACTAGACGCGGTGGCTCATGCCTGTAATCTCAGCACTTTGGGAGGCTGAGGTGAAAGAATAACGTGAGGCTAGGAGTTTGAGACCAGCCTGGTCAACATAGTGAGACCCCATCTCTAAAATAATAATAATAATAATAAAAAATAATAATAATAATAATAATAAAAGCCAGTTGTGGTGGTGTACACCTGTAGTCCCAGCTACTTGGGAGGTTGAAGCAGGAGGATTGTGGAGCCCAAGAGTTCAAGATTACAATGAGCTATGATTGTCTCTAAAAAACTATAAATGAATAAAACAAAATACATAAATAACATTTTTTAAAAGTGAAAAGTAATATATTGTAAATTATATGTATTTGCTTCTCAGAGCTCCATGACTATTTCTTTTTTCTCTCAGCTCTCATGAATTGATTGATTGATTTTTTTTTAAGACAGAGTCTTGCTCTGCTGCCCAGGCTGTAGTGCAGTGGCAAGAACACAACTCCCTGCAGTCTTGATCTCCCTATAGCTCAAGCTATCGTTCCTTCTTAGCCACCCAGGTATCTGGGACTACAGGCAGGCACCACCACGCCTGACTAATTTTTAAATTTTTGTAGAGATGTTGCTCAGGCTGGTCTCAAACTCCTGGTCTCAAGTGATCCTCCTGCCTCGGCCTCCCAAAGTATTGGGATTATTTATAGGCATGAGCCATGGTGCCTGGCTAATTAACTAATTTATTAACTCACTGTCTTAGCCCGTGTGTGCTGCTATGACAAAACGCCACAAATTGGATAACTTATAAACAATAGAAATTTATTTCTCAAATTTCTGAATGCTGGAAAGTCCAGATCAAGGTGGTGGCAGGTTCATTGACAGTGTGGGCTGCTGTTTCTGCTTCCAAGATGGTACTTTGTTGCTGCACCTTCTGAAGGAGATGGATGCTGTGTTCTCATGGTAGAAGGGATGGAAAGGTTTGATGCTGTGTGAAGCCTTGATTATAAAGTCCATCCCATTCATGAGGAAGTAGCCCTCAGGACCCAATCACCTTCTAAAGGTCCTACTTCATCACACTGTTTCATTGGGGACTATGTTTCAACATGAATTTTGGGGGACACAAATATTCAAACCATAGCATGCATTAACAAGTGCTTATTGAATACTATGAGTCACTATTCTAGGACATGGGAACGGAGGAGTGAACAAGATGGAAGAAAACCATCTTTTTGGCAGGTGGTTGTGATAGGGGTAAAAATAAGGTCTCTGATAGCCCAGAGGAGGGAGAAATAAGTTTCTTCAGATATAATCAGAGAAAGCTTTCAGGAAAAAGTGGTATTTTATGTGGAGTTTAAGTGTGGTAGAAGCTTAACGGAAGAATAGGGAAGAAATGATACTCTAGCACAAATGTACTGGAGTTATTTTGGTTTTGTTTCACTTTTGTCTATCTGTTGGTGCTTGGCAGTTCTATGTTCAGTGTTAACATTTGCTTGAAATTTTGGAAAATTGATTCCTTTTGTAAATAAATTGTTTCTTTAAATTAAAAATCATTTTGTGCTCGCCTTCGATTTTTTTTCTCAGTTTGTTTTTTTGAACTAGCTAGGAAAACAGGATTTTTCTAGGTAATTTTTACCTATTTGGTCTTTTAAAAAAAGTTATGAGTTTTCTTTTACTTTTGTTCTTATAATTTCTTGTGTTGTTATAATTAGCTATTATTTGTTTCCTTGTCATCGCGTGCTTGCAGTAGAGGTTCTCAGCCTTGGCTGCACTGGAATCACGTGTAGAGCTTTAAAAATGCTGATGGGTGGGCCCCACTGGGTTCTGGGGTGTGGCCTGCGCAGCAGGATTTTCAAAAGCTCCTCACTCAGGCATTTCTGCTTTGCAGCCAAGGTTGAGAAGCCATTGGCTTAAAGCATTTCAGAAGTAACTGAAACACGTTTTCTGCTTTTGGAAAGTAGGTAACTATGGTTTCAACTGAGTGGTTGGATAAATTTGTCATCTCACATGTCTTGCTTAGAATAAAGCTGATTAGAATTGCCATGGTTGAATGAAGTCCTTGAGTTTGTTAAAGCACTTTGACTAAAGCGTAAATGGAATTAAGTAAAGCACATACATGGATAGTATAATTTTAAGAACTTTAGATTCCTGTATGCCTTGGGGAAGGGATAAAAGTTCTTGTTTTGAACTCTGTACAAGTCAGTCATTTGGCTTATTATTTAAGTCAAAAGTTAACAAATTTGTTTTTGGAATCTAGTATAGTTAGGCAAACATTGTTTTCAAAGTCTTGTTGACTTTGTCACCTACTTTCAATGTAATAAGTATTCTGTTACTGTAAAGGGGATCTTTGTTTACTCCAGTAACAAGATGTTGGACAAAAAACTTGTAAACTCAAATAGTTACTTCCCTGAGGTTTCAAAGAGCCTCCAGAAAGAAACGGAACTACTCCTTTCTTTTATTCTGAGAAGTGATCTAGTCTGTTTCCAGCTTGATATTGGGAGCTGATATCAGTTTAGAGATGTTTTACTGTGAATTCACTGTTTGAAGTATTGCAGATTCCCAGAATATAGCCGTATCTTGTGGCATGTACTGCAGTAGGGTTGCAAACTTCTCATATGTCTATATATTATGTTAGCATGGGGTCTGAAAATAGGGGAGCTTACTGAATAGAATAATTAGAATTGGATTTATAGTCTAAGTTTTCTATTTCTAAGCTGTGTTACCTTGATTTATTTAACTTATCTAGCCTTAGTTTCTATATCTGGAAAATAGGGAGAAATGATACCTAAAGTTTGTTAATGAGATAAAATATTTAAAAGGCTTAATAGAGTGTCTACCTACAGTTGGTCTGTAATATATAAAAGTTCCCCAGTTTTGATATTGAATTATACTAGAGAATCATTTTAGTAAAAATGATACCTGAGAACAAATAAAACCCTAAATTTTCTTTAATATGGAAACATTAATAATAATGAATATTTGGGGTGATATAGGAGTCACATTTTATGTAGCTGAATGTTGGATGTTTCTGAATTTCCGATAAACCTGAACATCTAATAAAGGTGTTGATATTATACCTTTGCTTATCATAATTAGTTTTGTCATTTTTCATTGTGTTTATTGATATTTTACAAGAACTGAAGGATTCTTACAATAGGAAGGAGAAATTGGAAAGTTGATAGTACAGACTAAGCAATATAGTGTTGTTAGGGCATAAATGCCTACATTCATATGTTTACAATGAAAATACAAGCAAAGTGTACTGTCGGCCATGTTGAGATGTAGCCAGATCAAATTAGTTCATTCATTATTGCATTCCTCTGTGTGCCTGAATAAAATCATCACAATAATGACCCCGCCCATTTTCTGTCCTTCAAAACTGTTCTCATTTTTTAAGGCACAATTCAAGATGTGGTTTACTTTATTAAGTTATCCCCCATACTCCCTTGTAAAGGAATCACTTCTCTGCATTCTGTCAACATGTGACCTCTACCCTGCCTGTCACTTTTCACTGTCTCATATTAAAAGCAGTGCTTCAGGCATTGGGTTGAAGGTTGTTTGGGTTTCTAAATAAGAAACTCTGACCTTGACATTAGAAGGATCTTCATTTTAATCTCTGTGTTGAAATTTTCTTTGTAAAGATACACAAAATAATTTGTCCTTTCAAAGCTCAACTTAAAAGCTTCTACCTTACAGGTTTTTTGAAAGATTAAATGGTATAATATAAATGCCTAAGATAGTAAGTGTTCAATAAATAGTAGTGAATATTGTTATTGCTGTTATTGTTTGTGTGTAGTATATTATTTATTGAATATACGTGTGATACGTGACTTAATAAAACTTCCCCTAGACTATGCATTCTTTGAGGATAGGAAACCATCACTTGGCATTTTGCATAAGGTTTAATAAACTGATTCACAATTATTTGTTGATTGAACACATTAACTTTCACCTTACTTGACTTTTAAAAAGAATAGTCTTGGCATATATGAAAAAAATTTCAAAAAAGTTGTTTTCTAAATGACCTTGTTTTAAAATCACTCCAGGTACCTTGTTATCCCATAACTTTGGTATCCTGAAATCTGAGGATTCTACCAAGATAATATGATAAGAACTTTCAGTGATTTGGGGCCATATCCTACTTAGACTAATGTGGAATTTCCAGATTTCCTGAGAGCTTGGTACAGCAGCACGCACTGCTTGCTAATCAGCACAGGCAATAATGCCATCTCTGCCTCAAGAAGGAGGTAGGGAAATTGACTTAACTATGTTATGAAGTATGGAGGTGTTTTACATCACTACTGTTATTTTTTTTTAAAGTATTAAAAATTAATTGGGAACTTTTTAAAGTACCAGAATTTATCATTTTCGCTTGATGTGGGGCGGGGGTGGTATTTGTGTTGTCTGGTATAGATTTTTGTTATTTCAGTGTTATGTGATTATTTTACATTTTTTTAAAGTTATTCAGGGACCCTGTCCCCTGGATTTGAATACAGAATTACCTTATCAAAGCACAATGAAAAGGAAAGTCAGAAAGAAGAAAAAGAAGGGAACCATTACAGCAAATGTTGCCGGGACAAAGTTTGAAATTGGTAGGTTTGCTTAAAATCAATCATGGGATTCTCATAATTGCTGGAAAAACTGATATGGTGTTAAAAACAATGTAGAAATCCAGAGAGATAACTATCTTTTATATAATGGATTTTTAAACGCCTTCTATAAAATTTCTAACATGTTAGAAGGATTCTTTTTCTGTGCGGTAGAGGATGATATCCTTAAAAAGATCCCAATTGATTTCTAAAATTTCAGTTCAAACACTAGTATGATTAGACAGCTTAGCTGAAAAAAGGGACTTGGCATTGTATTTTTCTTTGAAGTTTAATTTTGTCAGCTCTCCAAGCTTTGAATTTCATAATAAAATAGGTTTATATATGACTGACCTGACAAATTTGAATTTATGAATGTAAAGAAAAAATGGATCTTTCCAATATTCGTATGTAACCTGAATGTTCCCAGCCTCATGGGTTTGTGTATATGTAAATACCCAAATTTAAGTAACACATTGCATTCTTTCTTCTTTTTTTTTTTTGAGACGGAGTCTCTGTAGCCCAGGCTGGAGTGCAGTGGCGCCATCTCGCCTCTCTGCAAGCTCAGTCTCCCGGGTTTATGCCATTCTCCTGCCTCAGCCTCCCCAGTAGCTGGGACTACAGGCGCCCGCCACCACGCTTGGCTAATTTTTTTATATTTTTAGTGGAGACGGGGTTTCACCATGTTAGCCAGGATGGTCTCGATCTCCTGACCTTGTGATCTGCCCTCCTGGGCCTCCCAAAGTCCTGGGATTACAGGCATGAGCCACTGCGCCCAGCCTACGTTCCTTCTAAACCTAACTGCCAGAAGTTCTGTTTATCTCACCAAGGTCTTCCCAGGTATCTTTGAGACGGTGCAGGCAGTGTCTCTCATATACTCAGGAACAGGTGTGCTCCTGACATGCTCTTCTGAATTTGTTATTGTTTTTGCTTGTGAGCCAGGTAAGGAAGTCTCCTAGTCTGTGTTGCTATTGCCCTTGCTCTGTACATGAACTGTAGGTGGCACAGCAGCTGCTGAGTCCTCAGGATGCCAAAGCTGCATGGTGGTCTGTGACAGAGAGGAATGTTCCTTTCCCCAACTCTTGTGATTGTACACTGTCACCTGGGACTACACCATTCTGTTAAGACTCAGGATTCTGTTGGAAACCACAAATTACCTGAAGTCTTCTACTTATCTTTATTCCATACTTGAAATTCAATGGAAGAAAAATGCCAATATGTTAATTGTAAAATCTAGATTGGAGAGGAACACATGAATAGTTTGTACTAAAAAGGAAATGTTCCTCTGAGCATAAACGTTTTCAGTAGGATTAGAGGTTTGGGAGCAGTGGAGAACCAAATCCAAATCTCTCCTGTGAATATTGCTTTATTATTTCATGTCCTAAGTAAACACAGATGAGTTGATTTTAAGCTCTAAAAATAATTTGAACTAGGGAGGTGGAAAGTATGGCATAGGTTTGATAATCAGGGGATATTTTTACCTTTGCTCTTTTGTACTTAACCTAAGGTTGTAAAAAAAGCTATAAAAAGTACATTTTCCTGAGTAGAGGTATTGTCTCAGCTGTGTGTTTTCCTTGTGCCATAAATAATCACTAAACCCTTTGGCAGTTTTGTGTACCTGTTAAACCTGAGAAGATCGAAAGGAAGGATTTTGGGTGCAACCGAAAAACAGTTCTCAGTTGCTACTGAGTATAATTTGGCCCTAGATAAAACTGTTGTAACTAAAAATAAGGTTATGCTGTAACTAATATTTTTCAAATGAAATACTGTGAACTAAAATTTATATAGAAAAATGTTTCTGCAATGAATATATTTCAGAAGTATTTTAATTTTGGTTTAACTTAACTGTTTACTTGCAGTTCGTTTAGTAATAGATGAAATGGGATTTATGAAAACTCCAGATGAGGATGAAACAAGTAATCTTATATGGTGTGATTCTGCTGTTCAGCAGGAGAAAATATCAGAGCTGCAAAATTATCAGGTAGGAAATTAATCATGACCAGTTAGTCGTATGAGGAAAGTTATATGGATTCCACCATAATTTTTTTTAGATAGGTTCTTAATCTGTTACCTTATTAAATTTCAATTCTAACTCACCTGAATAGCCTGTTTTGTTTCTATCCAGTTGTATTGACACTTTGCATGAAGCCTGCACCTTTTGCAGACTTAAGTTTTAACCTCTTTCTATCTTTAGGGAAGAATCAATAGAGAAAACCTCTTCTGGCCGGGCGCGGTGGCTGACGCCTGTAATCCTAGCACTTTGGGAGGCCAAGGCGGGTGGATCACGAGGTCAGGAGATCGAGACCTTCCTGGCCAACATAGTGAAACCCCGTCTCTACTAAAAATAGAAAAATTAGCTGGGCGTGGTGGCGCCACCTGTAGTCCCAGCTACTCGGGAGGCTGAAGTGGGAAAATCGCTCAAACCCAGGAGGTGGAGGCTGCAGTGAGCTGAGATCGGGCCACTGCACTACAGCCTGGTGAACAGAGCAAGACTCCATCTCAAAAAACAAGCAATAACAACCAAAAAAATACCCTTTTCCTAAGATGGTACTTTACATTGCACTTAAAGTTGTAGAATAGATTGCATAGGGAGACCAGGATGCAGAAATACCTTGTGAGGTCAGCTATATGTAATCTGGTTTCATTCTTTTATTTTTAGAACATAATACAAACTTATATTCAGAAGAAAATGGACCTCAAACTAAAAAGCTGAATATAAGGAATTCTAGAGAATTGACAGTTTGTATAGACCTTCTTCATTTATTAGTTTAGAATGTAATATAAAATTGACTGTAGTGAGCAAATAAGTCATTTTTACCAGTGCTGATGTCTGTGAATATAGTGCATCTAGAATAACAAAAGTAATTTGGATATTATCACTATTCAACCTAGAAAATTATAACTTTACTATCTATGTAAATATTCTTTTGTGATTTCTTTAAAATTTTGTAGTTTTATTCTCTGATTACCATACTCTTTAATTCTACAAATTCACTATAGGTCATTAAATCTTTTAGATTAATAATTGGCAGTTTATTAAAACAAAACTCAAAGGATGGATATTGCATTGTCATATACGTGAATATAATTAATTTGCTGATAATATTAATATTTACCTTTTTATTTTCCAGAGGATCAACCATTTTCCAGGAATGGGGGAGATCTGTAGAAAGGATTTCTTAGCAAGAAATATGACCAAGTAATCTTTATTTTCTTGTAATGGAGAAGACCTGTTCAAAATTTATAATATGAATACTGTAGTGGTATCTTTCACAAGGTTACATTGATTTGAAATGATATTTAGATGAGAGTGATAGAATTTTAGAGCTAGAAAGGTCTTAGAATGTCTCTGGTTCTAGTCTTCCACTTTGCAGAGGAGGTAAATGAGGGTCAGATAAATGAATATCTTGCACAAACTCAAGCAAATTGTTAATAGCAGAGGTGGGTAAGAATCAGTCTCCAGAATCTCAGGCCTCTTTACTTCAACTTGCTGCCTCTTTAGTAACAGAGTTTTTCGTTTAAATGTAAGAGTTATCTGTATATGTCATCTAAGAGATACTTGTTTATTTTCAGTTAAATTTTGCAGGAACTAATTCGTTGCCTTATATGCCGTGTGTGTGTGTGTGTGTGTGTGTGTGTGTGTGTGTGTGTGTGTTTCTGTGTGTTTTCATATTGGTGATTGAGCATTTACTATGTGCCAGGGATTGTACTAGGTACATGTATGCACACACTTACTCAAAGACACATGTATATGTGCTCACCCAGGGATATACATGCACAGATATTTATCTCTGCAACCAATATTTAGAGGAGCAATCTACTTTCATGGAAAAGCTGATAATAAGTACCCCAGTCTTTTACTTAATAAACTGAAAAATTTTTATGCAGTTTATATTCCTGTTGGCTAGGTTTTTTGCCTTTTTTTAAAGTTTAAGAAAGTTGAGTGATAAACTGAGAATTTTTTTTAAAAGAAGATTATTCATAGAGATTTAGTAAACTTTCTGACTCTAAAAAATGGTAGTATAAAAGGTAATCAAAAACTGTTCCCTATGGTGACCCAGAGACTCAAAATTATTTGTAAAGAAGCAATATAAATAGTATTTGTCTGAACAATTCCCTACTCCCTACTCCCATCCCTGAGGCACAGTTACTGACTCCTACATGTTACCTTGCCTTATATGCCTTTAGTGTACCTATCACACTGTTTAATATTAATAGCCTATCTATATATTCCTTGGGAGCAGAGATGATACTCATTTATCTTACTATCCCCAGTACCTAGCAAATAGTGTGTACTCTAAAAAAAAAGTTTGATATACTAATATGTAAATTAGTACATATTAGGGCAAGTTTTTTTTTTTTTTTTTTTCCACTGATGTATCCATGGTCCAGAATAGTGTCTAACACTTAATAGGTGCTCAATAGACATTTGTTGAATGAATGAATCAATGAATAAGTAAGTGAAGGAATGGAAAAAATTTAAATCTTTGTGGCAAATATCAGTAGCCCAGAGAAAGAAAATATATACAAGTTTGAATAGAAATTATTTTTCCTATTATCTCTGATTTACAGAATGATCAAGTCTCGGCCTCTGGATTATACCTTCGTTCCTCGAACATGGATCTTCCCTGCTGAATATACTCAATTCCAAAATTATGTGAAAGAATTGAAGAAAAAACGGAAGCAGAAAACTTTTATAGTGAAACCAGCTAATGGTGCAATGGGTCATGGGTAGGTTTGCTTTTATTTGGAATATATAAAAATAAAAAAAATTTGGGAGTAGGGAGAATAAATGTGCATAATTACTCATGGTTGAGTACCAACATGAAAAAATAATGAAATAAGTTTCTAACTATTGCATTTTTGGAACCAAATATTTAATGATCTCTGTTCTTTTAAACTCTCCCACAGGCTTCTGTAATTCAGTTAAAAAATTTAATCAACAGGTTGTGAGGCTTTAATAGGAGATAACAAAATATAAGGGGAAAAAGCTATTTTGTGTTTTTTTCTAAAACATAAAACTCACATTTATAATAATTTCAATAGACTTGGAGAGTAAAATCAGTTGCTACAGTAGGGCTACAACTGACTTGGAGAAAGAAATGAAAAGGGAGTTATTCTTTTCATAGCTAGAAATCTTGAAGGAAAATATGTATCTTCTTTGCCTTTAAATAAATTTTTTCTTTATGTAGCCATGGTAATTGGATTAAAAATGAGTGGAACACATTTTAAACTGAAGTTCCAAGAACTAGACATGTTAACTGAGAATAGAATGTGCAAGTAATATTCTTGTTTCCTTTTGCTTATGTTACTTTTCTGCAATGTACTTTTTCGAAGAAAATGTGGCTGAGGCTGCTTTTAATAAAATACACTTGGCCGGGCACGGTGGTTTACGCCTGTAATCCCAGTACTTTGGGAGGCCGAGGCAGGCGGATCATGAGGTCAGGAGACAGATCATCCTGGCTAACATGGTGAAATCCTGTCTCTACTAAAAAGATAAAAAATTAGCCAGGTGTGGTGGTGGGTGCCTGTAGTCCTAGCTACTCAGGAGTCCGAGGCAGGAGAATGGTGTGAACCTGGGAGGGAGAGCTTGCAGTGAGCCAAGATCGCGCTCCAGGTTACTGCACTCCAGCCTGGGCCACAGTGCGAGATTCTGTCAAAAAAAAAAAAAAAAAAAAAAAAAAATACACTTGAGTCATTTTAATTTAAAATGCTGTAGGAAAAAAGATATTTGGAAATATAGCTACCAGGTAAATTATTGTTCAAAATTTTTCTTTTAACTTTTAATCATAACTTAGTAATCCAATCATAAATTACTTGCAAATGTGCTTTGGTAATTTTTAACTAATAGTATTAATGGGAATTTTATACCAATTGCTTAATGCTGAGTTGGCTGTCTCTGTGTTAGCATTAAAGGAATGTTTCTGGTGGTAAGGAATTGATTTTTCACATTTTTCTCAATTTTAATGTTAAAAATTTAATATTAAAATATCTATATTTATATACTTATATTCGATATTAAAACATAAATAATCTTTTAATTTATTTTGATGGCAATATAAACAAATAACTGGAAAAGCAGATAACTGAAAGGGCATTATGTGTTCCCAGGGTTTATCTCATGTAATGCAGTAGTACCTAGGTAAAGAACACCCCTCTCATCTATTGAATTGTATCTGTTTCCTTGCTAATCTTCTGTCTAGTTATTTTGTCCATTATTGAAAGTAGAGTATTGAAGAATCCAGCTGATATTGGTGAAGTATTTCTCCCTTCAGTTCTACCAGTGTTTGCTTCATGTATTTTGGAGCTCTGTTATTAGGCACATAAATGTTTCTAATTGTTACATATTCTTGAGGAATTGACTTTTAAAAAATCAGTATATAATATGATTCTTTGTCTCTTATAACAGTTTTGCCACTCCAGGTTACTGTTTTATTGCAATATCTTTTCCATCCTTTCACTTTCAATCTATTTGAGTCTTGGACTTTAAAGGGTGTCTCTTGTAGACAGCATATTGGTGGACCATGTTTTTTAAAAATTCATTCTGCCAAGCTCTGCCTTTTATTGGAGAGTTAATCTATTTACATTTAATGTAATTACTGAAAAAGAAATATTTACTTAGGCCATTTTGCCACTTGATTTATGTATCTTGCAGTTTTTGTTCCTCAATTTCTCTGTATTGTCCTGTTTTGTGTTAAATAGATATTTTCTTCTGTACCATTTTAATTTCCTTGTCATTTCTTTTACTATGTATTGTTGAGTTTTAAAAAATGATTACCCTGGAATTACCATTATCATCTTAATTTATAACAATCCAGTCTATATTAATACCAACTTAGTTTCAGTAGTGTATAAAAACTTTGTTCCTGTATAGATTTACTCCCTTTATGTTGTTATTGTCACAAATTATATCTCTGCACCTTCTGTGTCCATTGGCATAGATTTATAACTATTGTTTTAAGCAGTTGTCTTTTAATTCATTAGGAAAAATGAGGAGTTAAAAACCAAAACTACAATAAGAGAGACTTTTTTGTTTTTTGATATGGAGTCTCACTCTGTCACTCAGTCACCCAGGCTGGAGTGCAGTGGTGTGATCTTGGCTCACTGCAACCTCTGCCTCCCAGGTTCAAGTGATTCTCCTTCCCCAGCCTCTTGAGCAGCTGGGATTACAAACGTATGCCACCATGGCTGGCAAATTTTTGTATTTTTAGTAGAGATGGGGTTTCTCCATGTTGACCAGGCTGGTCTCGAACTCCTGACCTCAGGTGATCTACGTGCGTCAGCCTCCCAAAGTGCTGGGATTACAGGTGTGAGCACAGGTGTGAGCCACCGTGCCCAGCCAGAACTTTTATATTTACCTGAGTAGTCACCTTTCTGGTGTTCTTTGACAATTTGATTATAGTATATCTTGATATGGATCTCTTTGAGTTTATCCTACTTGGAGGTAATTGAGCTTTTTGGATGTGTAGATTAATGTTTTTATCAAATTGGGAAGTTTTTTGCCAGTATTTCTTCAAATATTCTTTGAATTTTTTTCTTTGTCTTCTCTCCTTCTGAGACTCCTATTATGTGTGTGTTGCTGTGCTTGATGGTATTTCACAGATTTTGTAGGCTCTCTTCATTTTTCTTCTTTTTTCTTTCTGTTCCTCAGACTAGATAATGTCAGTTGGCTTATCCTCAAGTTTTCTGATTCTCTTTATGCCTTGTGAAGTATACTGTTTATCTCCTTTAGTGAATTTCTTTATCTCAGTTATTGTACTTCTCAACTCTAAAATTTCTGTTTGGTTCCTTTATTTTTCCTTAATTTTTTATCACTACTAATATTCCCTATTTAATGAGACACTGTTCTCATAGTTTATTTCAGTTCTTTGTACATGGTTTCTGTTAGCTCTTTGAATAAATTTTAAATAGTTGATTATCCAGTAAGCCCAATGTCTGGGCTTCCTCGTGACAGTTTCTATTAATTGATAGTTTCCCTGTATATGGGCCATACTTTCTTTTTCCTTTGCATGCCTCATAATATTTTGTTGAAAACTGAACATTTTGAGTATTATACTATAGCAATTCTAGAAATCAGACTCTCCCCCTCTATGTAATTTGTTGTTGCAGCTCATTGTAGTAGTTGTAGTCTGTGTTCTTTGCTGTGTATGGCCACTGAAGTTCCTGTTCTGTTAGCTCAGTGGTCAGCTAATAATTGGACAGAGATTTCCTTAAACAGAGCAAAACAAACAACAAAAAAGCTCTCAATAGATGACTGTGTGTGTGATTGCTGGGACATGCCTTCAGCATGCAAACAAATAATTTACAACTCTGCCTTAGCCTTAATTTCCTGCTTGTACAGAGTCTGATGGTTAGCCAGAAGGGACAGCTTAGGGCCTTCTCGGGTCTTTCTTGAGCGTGCTGCTAACCTTGGGCATGTAACTGGTCATCTAGATTCCCGGGAATATGTCAGAGCTTTTCAAAGTTTCAAAGATTCTCATTGCTCAGCCCTTCCTCCCAGTCTTTTTAATTGGTCTCTTGTCTGCCCACCTGTTGCCCTCGACAACCTAGACAGTAAATGTTTCCAACAATTGTCTCTGAAAGTAGTTGCCTCAGTACTGGTAAAGTTCCAAGTTAGGCAAGATGAAAGCAAGCCCTTTGAGGTCCTCCAGGAAGCCACCAGACAGGTCAAAACAACCAACCATAAGAATAGCCCATTCTACCCAGTCCAGGACCAGTACTGGTATTGAAAATGAGGCTGTTCAAGGCTGCCGCTGAGCTGTGAGTGGATGATGGGACTAGATTAAGTTAAAGTGTTACAAAGCTCTTTGGCACAGATCCAGCTGTTTTTTTCTTAGTTAAGTATTCCATTTGCTGCAAGCCTTTGCTTAGTTTGTGGGGTTACAAAGTTGATTCCTATGATTTCTTTTGCTCTTCATTGCTTTTGTGGAGGGACAGACTTTTGGAGTCCCTTACTCCACTATTTTCCACTTGAGTATATCTGTAACTTTTTAAACATCTTGCTCTATGTCAAATCATTCTTTAAATTTTTTTCTTTAAACATAGGATTTCTTTGATAAGAAATGGTGACAAACTTCCATCTCAGGATCATTTGATTGTTCAAGAATACATTGAAAAGCCTTTCCTAATGGAAGGTTACAAGTTTGACTTACGAATTTATATTCTGGTTACATCGTGTGATCCACTAAAAATATTTCTCTATCATGATGGACTTGTGCGAATGGGTACAGAGAAGTACATTCCACCTAATGAGTCCAATTTGGTAAGTGATATCAGACAGAACTTACGTTTTCATTCAACTTTTTTCCTATAAAATATATTACTTTACCCTTTCTCTGCACTTGTAAAGGGAAATGCTTAGAGCTTTTGTAATAGATTAATAAACTCCCTTTCTCAAATTGACCTAGAATAAATGGATGTTCAACATATACCTTTTAAAGCTTCCATTAGGCATATAGATTGTATGAATGAAAGTTCCTGCTCTCGGGTTTTGTGGTCTAGAAGAATTGTGTGCATATGTAAGATTGCTTTTAACTTACAAGCAGCTTTGTGGACATTAGAAAATAAAGGTATCTGCTAATTGAAGGCTGACTGGGAAAAAGTACCCTCTCTGTGCTGTGAGCACAAGGCTGGATTTCAAAGCAAACATCTGTGTGCAGTGGCCCTGTATAGAAATGACTATATTATAAATGATACTAATATGCAATGATTCTTGATTCAGTATAATAATGATACTAGCATGCAATGGAGAAGTACAGATTAAGTGTTTTGGAGCTGTGTTGGGGCAGTTTGTGTTCAGCTTCTCATGGAGGAGGTGACATTTGAGCAGGCTTTGTATAACACGTAGGGTGTGAACATGTTGAATGTGGGAGAAAGTATATGAAACCGAAAAGCAAAAGTTATCAGAAAGTAGTTATTAATTTCTGTTGCAATAAAAGAGAAGTAAGGCTGTCAACTTACATTGACCAATGTGAGGTTGAGACAAATGAGCAGTTTCAGTGTGCATTTTAAAGCCTGTTAAATGGAGCTTTGTGTAGATATTTTTCAATAAAGACTTTTTTGTGCAGCCATAACATATTTATAAAAGTTATAGCTAAATTTATCATGAAAATAATAACTGTAATTTGTAGCTTATAAAAGTTAAATTATAATTTATTATGCATACTTAAACTTTAGTTAACCTCTAAACCTATTTTTGGATGTAACTAACTATAGTTAAAATTACAATTAATTGTTTTCCAACTTGTCAAAGACCTGGTTACTGTTCTCCCCTAATATTATGCACACAATTAACTCCATTAAATGTGGTCATTTTTTCAGCATTAAATAATGGCTGATCATAAATGGTACTATGTTCAGTAAAATGAAAAATGTTGTAAACCCGGCAAAGGAAGAATAAGGAAACTGTCAAACCTTTCATAGGAAAAGAAGTTAAAAGAAAGAAACATTATTAAAGGTTATAAGGTCTAGATATAGCCAATCACCAAGTGATGTTTGAACTCTACCACATTTTGGGCATTGTGCTAGTTTTTAAAAAAACAGTGACCAGACAGATACAGTGCTTGACCTCACAGAAGCAACAGTTTAGTGGGGAGGCAGAAAATAAAATAAGCAATTATAATATCTGATGGTAAGTGTGATGGTCTAAGAAACTGAAGGTGCTATGGCAGTGCATAGCAGGGGCACATAACCCAGTTGGAGATAAAGGTTAGAGAGGGAGTGTTTTATAAATTGAAATCTGAATAATGAGGAGTTAGCCAGATTCGGGTGCAGGGTAGGGTTGGATGGAGCTCCAGGCAAAAGAATGGCTCAGAGGTAAGACAGAGTGTGGCATGTCTGGAGAAAGCAGACAAGGTCAGTTTGGCTGAAGTATAGAATAAGAAGGAGTGACTGTTCAGAGATGAGGATGGTGAGTCCTAGAAGCTAGATCCTTTAAGGCTTTGTAGGCCTTGTCTAGGATTTTAGAATTTAACTTAAGATAAAAGGAAGGATTGAAGGGTTTTACACAAACAAAAGAAGGAATGTCCCCTGGTCTGGAATGTGAGATGGAGGTGGAGATGGATGGAAATGATTAGAGTCAGAGAGACAAGAAGTTACATATATTTTGAATAACATGTAAAGTATTCTAGTCTGACCACATATGGAAGGAAAAAGGACTTAAATTGAAATAGTAGCAGTGGGTCCAGACCAAGAATAAGAGCATGGATTTGAGATATATTTGAGATAACATGGATAACGTTGATATAATATGGTCACAGGTTGGATTTGTGGAATGAGAGAAAGGGAAAGTGAAATCAAGAATAAAACTCAGGTTTCTGACATCTGATGGATGGTGTATTAGGGAATGGTGATAAGGGAATACAGGAACTATTAAAGGTTTTGTGGAAAGTGGATGTATTCAGTTTAAAGGCCTGTGTGACCTCCAAGTGGATCTGTTCTGTAGGCATTTGATTATACAGTGTAAGTTTGAAGTTCAGAAGACATTTCTGAACTACAAACATAATTTGAGACTTGTCAATACATAGATTATACTTTAAATAATTGGCATGGGTAAGAGTGGATTATATATGTGTAAGGTGGGAGTGATCTTTTGATAGTATTGGAAAGAATAAGACTTGGAAGCTCTTTTGGGTGATAAAGTGCTTTATTCTAATGTCCTATGTGTATATAATTAGCTTAAATTCAGTGGGATTAATCTCATTGAAGTGTGGCCTCTAGGTCTCATTTTGTATGTGCTTTTGAATCACATAAGCTCCTGGCTTTGGTTTTTACATATATAGAAAAAAGATGTTCTCTTACATAAATGTCTATATCACTCATAGATCTCTAGAATTTCATGATTGAATATCTAGGTTGAGATATGAAAATATTAAAAAGTGAAATACAAAAGTGTCTGTAAAGTGAGACCATGGTTATGTAAAAGGTAAGTTTAGAAAAAAACACTAGAAAAATTAAACCAAAGTGCTCTCATTGGTTGTTTCTGGATGGCAGCTTACTACGTATTTTTTCCTTCTTCCTATTTCAAATTTTTAAAATAGTGAGCATGTATTTTATATATGTATTATTTCTATAAGAATTAAATGTTCATCAACTACATATAAGCAGATTATAAGACAGAATTTCAAACATTGAAATATAATAAACATTCCGTTTTTGCTACCAATGTAGTGGTTGGCCAATCCTTGCAGATTGCTGTATGGTTCATAGCTACTTTTGGTTCTATTTCTTGCAAATGACTAACTGGCAGTGAACTGCTTAGATGCCTATTTTTGTCAAGGTAAATGTGAAGTTGTGGAATTTCCAGTCCATTTACAAAGATACTGTTTAAGAAAAATACAAAGTTTCCTTACTTAATTTTTCACTAGAATAGCTAGTGGTGGTGTTAGTATTATTAATTTTAAGAAATTCTTGCCAAATACAGACTTCCTTACAAGATTGTTTTCCAAATCTCTTTTTAGAAGTTAAGAAAATTTGTATTTTGGAAACTAGGAAGTGCCCCAGCTTGATTAATTTCCTTTTTCTTTAAATTAAGCACTTAAAATTAGGTAAGCATAAGATTTATGCTTTTTCTTTTAAGTATCATTTAATTTAAAGCTTTTCCTGTTTCTAAGGATAGAGACTGTTGTTTATTTTGTTGTCTTTGTATCCACAGTGCCCAGCAGAGACTGCTGCAGATAGTAGGTGTTCCTTAAATATTGTTTAATGAATGAAAAAAATAAATTCTTAATTATTGGTAGGCACATGGATTAATAAACAATATGTACTCAAATTATCATTTCTGCCTTCTTGCTTCAAAGATTTCAATGCCATAGGCCTAAGGAACTGCAGCAAAAATAAAATATGACATGAATATAGTTGGCTATTAACAAATCAAAATAATAATCATGTGAATGAAGTATATTTTAATTGTGATGTAACTTTGCTATCTAAAGTAATCTTTAGGATCATGAGGAGGGTAGGAATTAAAGATAGATTTTTATGAATGCTTGTGTTAGCTTGATAAAAAGGCATTAGATATATATTGACAATTATGAGGAGTTTTAAATTTTGAATTCTTTTTCAATTTAAGGAAAATAGTATCAACAAATGTAAGATTATAACGAGACAAAAACGTAGAGCTCCAGTATGGAGCACGATACTGTACTGGACATCCGCACAGTATTATGTGGTACCTTCTGTCTGCTGACTATAAGTGCACTCTGGTACCAAGCTAAAGGGGCCTCCTAGTCAGTATGGGTGTGCAGAGGTTGTGTTTGGTAGTCCTGCCTCTCTATGTGACTTACTTGAGTTTTCATTTTTTATTTTTCTTGAAAAAGACATAGAATACTCTCTCAGAAAATTCCTTTCCCAAAACAGATTTGAGTGAAAACTCTCAGAGCCAAAAACATTAAAAACAAATTAACAAGAACAAACTCAGATCATTTTTCTTGCTTAGCAATATGTAGTTTCACATTTTAATTACTCTATATTCTTATTAATTTGATACTTTTTAATGGTAGACATATTTTGAATAATATGTAAAGTAACTCTGTAGATGATTACATTCTCAACCCTTTTAAGGGAAATGTGCCATTCCATTTAATTGGGATATTATCTAAATAATCATGAAATTGTTCATCTATATAGTTTAAACTTTAAAACTTTTTTTAGTCTTTGAGTGTCTATTTTTCCTCTGAAACGTTGCAGTTCTAGGATGTCATAGGTGGTAACCACTTTGGTTCTTACTTGTTACAGACCCAGTTATACATGCATCTGACAAACTACTCGGTGAACAAGCATAATGAACGTTTCGAACGGGATGAAACTGAGAACAAAGGCAGCAAACGTTCCATCAAATGGTTTACAGAATTCCTTCAAGCAAATCAACATGATGTTGCTAAGTTTTGGAGTGATATTTCAGTAAGATTATGCCATTCCACAATTATAACGGTCTGTCCTCAGCAATAATTTGAAGCACCGTCAGGCCATGAAAGTTCATTAAGAGTTGATTGAACTTGGTTCCCTATAATTGAGAGGACCAGAGAGAAAAAAACAGGCCGTTACACAGCCTATTGCTTAACAACAGGGATGCATTCTGAGAAATGCATCCTTGGGTGATTTTATCATTGTGCAGATATCACAGTTTGTACTTACACAAACCTAGAATAGGAATAGCCCACTACATACCTAGGCTATCATATAGCCTGTATATGGTATAGTCTGTGGCTCCTAGTCTACAAACCTGTACAAAACATTACTGTACTAGGCTGGGCACAGTGGCTCACACCTGTAATCCCACCACTTTGGGAGGCTAGGCAGGCGGATCAGGTCAGGAGTTCGAGACCAGCCTGGCAAACATGGTGAAACCCTGTCTCTACCAAAAATATAAAAAATTAGCTGGATGTGGTGGCGCGCTCCTGTAATCCCAGCTACTCAGGAGGCTGAGGCAGGAGAATTGCTTGAACGCGGGAGGTGTAGATTGCAGTGAGCCAAGATTGTGCCACTGCACTCCAGCCTGGGCAACAAAGCAAGATTTGGTCGCCAAAAAAAAAAAAAAAAATTTACTGTAAGCAATTGTAATACAAGGGTAAAGATTGTATACCTAAACATGGAAAAGGTACCCTAAAATACAGTATTATAATCTTATGTGATCCCTGTTGAATATGCTATGCATTGTACACCAAAATGCTGTTATGTGGCATATGACTCTATTCACCCTTGTTTATTTTGTTTGTTGACATTTTTACCTTACTTTCTATATCACCGGCCATAAATCCAAAGGTCCTTAGGTGTCAGACAAGTAAGAAGGAGTGAAGTGGTCTCTAGATAGAAGAAACTAGGGTGTTCTGGGAACTGTGATAATTTGAAAGTCAGGAGAGGTCTGAAGGAGGTAGCCACCACTCAGCACTAGCTTATTGGTGCCAGTGATATTTTAGGCCCAGTGAGGCTTATTCTTCTAATTTGTTGATAAATTATGTGTAAATGGCAGAAATGGCATAAATGATTTTAAATGTTGGCAATGGACTCAAAAATTTTAAAGATGTTGAGACTTAACAAACAAAAATGTCATCTGGATTTGGTCAGATACCCACCAATTTGTTAACTTTCATTTATAACTTCCTGAGAGATGAAATGCATGTAAATGAGAAATTGAATCATAACAATGCTGCATTTATTTGTTTATGTAATTATGTTCTCAAGGCCAATTTCATGGAAATTCCAAAAACCATTCTAATGACAGTTTACTATCATAGTGAGTCAGAAGCATCACAATGGTGAAATTCAGTGATTTTGGACCATAGTTCATTGATGGAAGATCATACCATCTTCCATCTGATGGTAATTCAATGAATTGGTATATTGCTCAGTGGGACCAAGAAAGTTTTATATACCCTCTGGCATTCTTTTTTTTTTTTTTTTTTTTTTTTTTTTTTAACAAATGTACACATTTGTAACCCTCGTATGGATTTGGCTCTTTGGGGACATGTTTGTGAAAAGGTAGAACCTGTTGGGCTGCTTTGGTGAGGCATGTATGGAGAGAATCAGGGAGAATAATGAGGGTCGTTAGCTTTACATATATTGGTTTTAAGTGACGTTTTTTCCTCACAATTGAATTAAGAGAAGGTATACAAGCAAGACTAATACTAATGAGAGGATATGGAAATTAACTTTCTGTTAGGACCTGAAGTATAACTTTTAGATATGACCCAAACATAGCCAATGTGGGCCTATTAAGCTCTGACACATTTCATGGTCTTGTCTATAGGTGAATAAATTTTGCATCTTTCTTGGCTATGTTAGTAAGAATGCATATTAATCATCTATAAACAATCAGTTAACAAACCTACCTTTTTCAAGTACTTTTATTATAATTATCTTGTCAAACACCTGTCTGTATTTATGTAATTATATGAAAATTGGCTGTCTTTATTAAGAATTGGTATACTTTATATAGATAACTGTTTAAGATAAATCAATGGGATAATATAAAAAGAGAATGACAGGAGGAGGTGGAGAAAGCAATTATGCAGTAAATTTTTATCTTGATGTCTTAGTTCACAAATTCCCTGAATTTAATTTATAACTTATTTTTAATAACCTCTTTTTGGGGGGCAATTTCTCCAAAAAGTAACTATCAATATATAAAAAGTAGCATTCATCAATACCCTGTGTGAAGAACAGAGCCGTGTACTTTTGTTCTGGTCAGTAATAAAAATCAGTAGAAAATCAAGCCATGGAGATTAAAAATGAGCATAATCATTAAAAAAAACTATCCTTACTGCTTTTTATATACCTAAGGTATAAATCTACAAATCACATTTCAAAGCAGTGATGTTATGTTGTAAATTCTCAAAAACAGTAGTGGAATTTCGTTTGTGTTTGTTTATATGACTCCTGATTTTCACTTCTGCTGAAAACTTGCCTTTACAATCTAAAAGCAGGTTATTTTCTACATAGCAAAAACATATTTGTAATTCAGGGTCTGTTGATTAATAATCAGTCCCCACCCTCTCCCTCAGCCTATACTGTTCCATACAGACACTTATCAGTCAAAGTTTTAACTTTTTCCTGCTCTCAAGTGGTTTCAGTAATATTGGTGAAGATTTATATAAAGTGACTTTTTATCATTTATTTTATATACTATGGTGCTGTCATGAATTTGTTACCTTGAACAAAATGTTTTGAAAACAGCCTCTCATGGGACCTCTGATAGTTATTCTCAAATATGAACTGCATTGTGGTTCTGGGTAACAGTGAGGTTAACGTCTGTCTTCTCTTTTATCACTCATATAATAAATATTGTTCTACCAGGTAGTAGAGTATTTGAGTCTAACCTGACATATGAGGTGGAATTCTAGAGGAATGATAGAATAACAGTAACAATAATAGTACTCTGGGCACTATGCTAAGAGTTTTACATGGCATCTCATTTTGTTCTGACATTAACCTTTTGCAGATTATATTTAGGAAAAATGAGACTCACAAAGTTTAAGCAACAGGACTGAGGTTGCACAGCTAGCAAGTTACAAACCCAGGAAGAAACACAAGAATCCTGATTTTAGAGCCAGGTTCTTAACTGTCTTTTCCTATTGCCTATACCTGTAGAGAGGGAGTTAAAATGACAATGTCTTCTGAGCAAAAATAAGTGAGACAGCTTTTCTCCTACAGCTTGTTCTGAAACTTCAGTAAAACAGCTTTTTAAAAATTAGGGTTAATAACTCATCCCAGTAGTATTATGTGATTTCTCTCAGAAAATATTGAGAGCCAATCTTTTAATTGGTAACACTCTTCTCAGATAAAACTTATACACTACAAAATCGTCACTAAATAAAGAAACTCAACTCTCATAGATTTTGTCTTCCAGCCCTTTCAGCCTTTATCTAAGTAGAGTTTCTATACTGGTGTTTGTGAAATAATTTACTCTCCTTGGAATTTTTCCTCCCTATCACCTTCATCTCTTCTGGATGGGGCTAGCCTATGCTCCTACCTTACTTGTTTTTAACTTGTTTTAACAACTGCCTTACTTGTTTTAACATATAAACAAGTATGAATAACTTGTTTACAAAGTAAACAAGTTAATTGGATTTACTTGGATATCTACTGAATGCCAGCTACTATTGTAGGCACTGGGAATGGTGTTATAAATAAGTCAGACAAGGTCCCTGCTCTAATGTAAAAAGAAAAATATCAACTGGTTATATGCTGTGTGTAGTGGTGCGGTAAGAAATGAAGGGTGGCTACTTTTAACTTGGGGGTTGGGAAAGCCTTTCTGAATGTCTTAAGAGCCAGAGTTGCAAATATAGGGGAAAGAGTATTCCACAAGAGGGGACAGCTAATGCAAAGGATTTAAGATAGGAAGAAGTGTCACTTACTTGAGGAACCCAAAGCAAACATGAGGAGCGCAGTAGGCAGGGATAAGAGTGAAGAATGAAGTTAGATCTGTGGCAGGGGCTAGATGCCACAGAGCCTTGTAAACTTGGCTAGGCTGCCAGTTTGTGGGCCCTGCTTATATTTACATATATGAAATGAGACACAAAGGCATTTTCACCTCTTTTATCACAATCTTATAGGAATTGGTGGTAAAAACCCTGATTGTAGCAGAACCTCATGTCCTGCATGCGTATCGAATGTGTAGACCTGGTCAACCTCCAGGAAGCGAAAGTGTCTGCTTTGAAGTCCTGGGATTTGATATTTTATTGGATAGAAAACTAAAGCCATGGCTTCTGGAGGTAAGGCATTCTTTAAGAAAAAAAGAGGAGTTATCACTGTCCTTATGTATTAAAATAAATGCTTTAAAAATCTGTACTTAACACAGTTGTCCCATTAACTGTCTAGAATGAAGCCTGAATAGAGTAAGTGGGAAGAAGAGGATAAAAATTCAGGGACTACAATAGTTCTAAGAATGAATCAAAGTGTTTGATATTACTTTTCCCAAATTAGTGTCAAGTGAATTTCCAGGCCAGGTATTTGGGATTGAAGTGTGAAGGTGCTTTTACTGATTTGTTGCTTACTTGCTCTACTATTTTCTCAGCCTCCTGGCTTCTACCACGTCATGAGGTCTGGATAGCGTCTCTCCTCTCTGTGGGTGCCTGGGCTTCAGAATCTTGCCTTCAGTGTGTCTCCCCTTCAAACTCTCCGAGAGGCTCCAATTGGTTCATTAATCAGTATTCAGTATCCGATACCCCAGGTGGTAAATGTCTCCTTTAAGGCCATGTTATATACCCGGGGCTTCCCTCAGGGAGACTGTCAACTGTATGCCTTCAGGTTTGCTGCCAGTCCCTGGTAGAGTGAGAGTTATCATTATTTTTCTTTGATGATAAAAGGTCATGTAACACATACGAAATAGTAAAAGGGAGAAAGTAAAAATTATCTCTGTTGACAATTTTTATATTTTTTCCTGCTAGTTACATTTATATTACCCAGAAGAAACCTTAGAAGTCATGTGGTCCAGAAGATCCCATCCAGCAGTTCCTTTTAAGCTCCTTGATCTGGGGTTACACACCTTCTTGTGGCCACTTAAATATCATGTTTGGGAAACTTAATCAGGAACATATTGCTATAGAAGATGTCATCAGCCACTACCTTTCATTTTAAATCAATTGTCTCTCTTTTTGTTAGTGATTTGTAAGTTAGAAGTTGTGTATGTAATATCACGGATTGCATAAGCAAATTGAATGAGTGGTAGGTGAGATGAGCATACTAAAAATACATTTCCAAGAAATTATACTTTTCTAATTTGAGAGCCAAAGATTGTGTGTGTGTGTGCGTGCGCACGCGTGAAACAAGAACATGTATTGTGTCTCCAAGGAAATACAGTTCTCTCTGTTGGATATTCAGACTTTGCTCCAGCCTGGGTCTTAGAGATAAGATAAATGTGAGGAGTTTTACTTATTCTCTGCTTCCTCCATTCCTTGGATATGAAAACACTTGACTATGCACTATGGACCCTTCATCTTGCTAAGGCCTGACATTTGCTTTAGATTTCTTGCTTTTTCTGCAGCAGTCCTTTTCTGTTCTTAGCTATATTGTCTTCTGCCCCTGTACTTTTCTTTTGTCATTGATGGAGTGGGGAAAAAGTGAGGCATGTGCATAAGGAGGATATTAGGAAATAATGACTTTATAGATCTCTTAGTTTCCTTTTTAGAAAAAAAACCATTTGCTTCACTAGAGCTTTCCATTAGCTTGCTAAATCAGAGTTGACTGAATGGTTGAATTCTGGATTTTACAAGAATCAAAATAACCATTGTTTGCATGAATGTTTCTTCATTCTTTACTCTTTCCTTCATTGTTTCTAGATCAATCAGAACCATTAAAACACTCCACAATAACCAAGAGCTGTGGATAATGAACATTTATTATATTAAAACGGTTAAAAGAATCTTCAGTCTTGCCTTGTGTTTTGCTCCCTGCTGAAATTTTAGTGGGTCTAATATACATTGTTAAAAACCTTTTGGCGCCATCAAGTGGAATAAGGTAGAAGGTGCTTCTGGGTATGTGATAACTTTTAAACAGTAATTTCAGGGACTGATTGCTAGTGGCAGAATTGCACAAATTTTCATTCAGTAGAAAACATTTTTTAGGAAAAACATGGAAATTGGGTGGAGTATGAATATACCACCAATAGTTTAAGTACTCTTAAATTAAACAGAAACCTACTAAGTTATAGTCATTGTCTTAGGTGGTGGGGATACAAGAAGACAGAGTACTTGCACTGGTGTAGCCATTATTCAGATGTGCATTTTATGGTAATAGTTATGAGTACTAGTAGGTAAAAGGGAAATAACAAAAACGATAGTGTGATTAATATCTCTGCGTAACTGTGTGTATTGGAGAGTTAAAAAAAAAAAAGCTTTACAGAAGAAACACCTGAGCAAAGTTTATAGGGCTGCAGAAGGGTGGGATAGGGGCTAGGGGCTGAGAGAGATAAAGTAGGGGTGGGGAAAGGCTGTGGTGCAGAGGGAACAGCACTAACTTAGGAGCACAGAAGCTATTATGGATACTTTAATTTGTGGAAAAAGTGATTGTTATTTGTTTTGATAAAACTATTTTTAGGACCGTTGAAAATAGTGTTTACTAATTTAATACATTTTATAATAATTTTCATTTTTAATGCATTTACAAGCTGTTGAATTTTGAGATTTTAACATCTACTATGTTTTGTCTGTTTTAGAATTGGGGTAGGAAATGAGAACCAAATAAATCATCTCACTATAGAGGAGAATTTTGGCTGGGTGGAACACTAATTTTTAGTTTCTTCTGTCAGCCATTTGTGGTTCTTCTATTTTTTTTTTCTTTACCTTTCTCATAAAACTTAAAAAAAAAAGAACAACCCTGAATGAAAACTTAAATTGAAAAAGTTTTCCTGCCTTTCCACATATTATTAACAGTTTATCTTGTGTGGGTATACCTCTTCACAGACCAATTTATCTTATAGTAGAGGGAAAAATTTGAAATAGGTAAGGAGAGAGAGAGAGAGATTGAGATCTGAGATGGCTTTATACTGAGACCTCAGTACCATCCTGGAGGAGGGATATGCCTGACACAATTCCACACTGAAATTTGGAATGGAGTCTCTGAGGAATTCTACAAAGACAGATAACATTCCAATGTACCACTTACTCATCAGTTCTTTAATGTCTGGTTTATTTTGTAACCATGTAACATACAGTGGCAACACCATCATTAATTGTATTATAAACTCCAGATATTTGAATCAGTATGGTTGAAACTTTTTTCCTATAAGATATATTACTTTACCCTTTCTCTGCACTTGTAAAGGGAAATGCTTAGAGCTTTCGTAATAGATTAATAAACTCCCTTTCTCAAATTGACCTGGAATAAATGGATGTTATTGCCATTTTCAAGCTATTTCCTTCTCCTTGAGACTATATCACAAATACAGGAACGTGTCTGTCACCTTCTAAATCAGAAATCAACAAAGGAATCAAAATACAACATGGCATATCTGTATAAAAGGAGTACCATGCATCCATCAAAATGATGGCATGATGAAAGATTTTCATGATACATTATTAAGAGAAAAGCTTGGAATGTAAAATAAAGTATGGTTCGTATAGATATGCATTTGGAAGGTAAAATGAATATTTTAAATATGTATACATAGAAAATATCTGGAATACTATCTACCACGTGGTTAACAAGACACTAAGTGTTAAGTAGTGGGATTACAGGTAATCTTTTGTTACTTGTTTTCCTTCTTTTTACTTATTTTTCTGCAGTGAACCTGTGATACATTTCTAATTAAAGATGTTATATTCCTGGGTAGTTTCTTGATTATAATGTGATATTTCTTCAGATTCAAGTTGTAGAATGCATGCTTTCAATTGTTTTGTCTCTTGTGGTGACAGATGTGTATAACTGTGACTAGTAACTGTGATATTTCTTCAGGTGCAAGTTGTAGAATGCATGCTTTCAATTGTTTTGTCTCTTGTGGTGACAGATATGTATAACTGTGACTAGTATACACACACACACACACACACACACACACACACACACACACACACACACATATATTTGAGATAGCCTAAGGGATTAGTTGGTGGTCAAGAAGCTAAACTGTTGTGTTGAACTCAGCAGCGTTCTAACCAACTGATTTAACTGATTAAGAAATTTTCTTAAACGTCGGCTATTCCAGTTATATTTTTATAACAATGACAACAGTAACAAGACTCAACAAACACAAAAACAAACACTCCAGCTCTTTTATTTTTCATCTTAATGAATTCCTGAAGATCTGAAGCAGTGAAAAGGGAGCACTGATAGTTTCTATATTTTAAATATATAGATGTATATAATTATTACTGTGTTGGTATAATTATTACTGTGTTGGTAACATGAATATCACTATTACCTTTTTGTTAGGCTAAATCACTTTTAACTTTTCTAAACTTAAGAAACCTAAGTTGCATGGGGTAATGGAGAGAGTGGAATGGAGGGAGAGGTCAGCTTATACTGACAGTAAAGCTCCTGAACTAAGGCAGCAGTGAGAAGGAGATGGTGCCCGTAGTCAGTCCCTTGCAATTTGTTGCCCTAGGGTGATGCGGAATGGAGATGTGGCAATAATAGCTGGGCCATCTACCATGTAAAGCTTTGAGGTTTATTGTAGGGTTTTTCTACTGGCTAGAGATCCCACATTAAATTAACAAATATGTATTGAATATTTATTTACCTTCCAATATTGTTTTCTTTGTAAATTTCAGATTAACCGAGCCCCAAGCTTTGGAACTGATCAGAAAATAGACTATGATGTAAAAAGGGGAGTGCTGCTAAATGCATTGAAGCTACTAAACATAAGGTAAGGTAAAATATTTTCTCTATCTTTTGGGCATTTATCTCCACGTTTGACATAGATTAATCATTTGTACATAAAATTGGCTTTTCAGAATAGTATTTTTTATTTTTATATTTTGTAATTTTCATTTCTTGATTCCATCCATTCTGGATTTTTTATTTCTTGATTCCATCCATTTTGTAATTTTTATTTCTTGGTTCCATCCATTTTGTATTTTTCATTTCTTGATTCCATCTATTCTTTAAACTCATATAGTTAAAAAAAACTTTCCTCCCTACTCCTGTATACTGCTTTTCCTGCTTCCCAGGCAACAGTTTGTGCCTGCAGTAAATGAGGTTAAATTTCAATGTAGGTATGATTATTTAATATAGTGTACAAGATTAAATTGTTAAATACTTTAAGAGACCATCTAGATTATATTCCTCATCTTATAAGAAGAAACTAAAGCACAAAGAGTTCATTCAGGAAATTAAAAAAGAAATCTCAAACATGGATTTCCTAACTTTCTCCCCAGAGGTCTTCCCATTATATCATGCTCCCTATGTAAACAAAAAAGAGAGGCAGTTGTTCAGTGAGAGTTAACTTTTCCATTTAGAGAGGTAAGTAAAATTTGAGAGAAGACTTGGCTGGTGTGGATGTAGGGCTGGTTGCAGTGTACATGATCATGGGATTCAAATATTTGAAATGCTATTATGTGGGAAAAGCTTTTGCCTCATTACAAAATGAATTTTTTAGATGTTTGACTGAAACACTTCATGAAATAGTGAGTTACCTGTCATTAGAAGTGTTCCAACAGAGCTTCGAGTATTGGATTAAAGGGCCTCTGAGGTGATTTAAGCTCAGTAATTTTATGATTTTAATTTATTCTAATTGTCATTCAAGAATTCTAGCAGAGTTATGGTATGCTTCCAAGCAATTTTCAAATTTAAGATGTTTCCAAGCAATATGCCTATACATGTTTTTTTGCATGAAAGTTTACTACTATTACTTAAATAAGCCTTGTGTTTAGTTTTTTTGTTGTGCGTGCATGTCTTTTGACTTTGCCATTTATGGTATCAATTCAGGACATTATCTGTGGGTGTTTTTGGTGTTTTTAAAAGTGAGGTATGTATAGTTTAAGCAATCAGAAATTTCTAGACCTAAAACTAAGGGAAAGTAGAAATTCATTTCTTTATCTTTCTTGGTGTTGTTCCACAGATAATTTAGCACAGTTCTTAACATTTAGAGCATATGCTAATGAGGCTTATGTTTCAGAAGTGCCTTCTTCCTCCAGCTGGGTGGAGAGCTCCATGGGTGCATGTGTTAGACTTGAGTTTCACTGGGCATGTCACAGTAACTTAAGCAGGAACTAAGAACACTAGGAAAATTCTTGTCTATTTATTAAATAGAATTAATTTTCATATGGAGTGTTTTAATTTTGGATAGAACAAATTGTTCTGTGAATCCAGAAGTCCCCTATTTACATTAATTTTAATCAGACTATTGGGAATGATCTTCCTTTCATTATGTTATCTTTCTGCTCAAGAACCTAAATAGAGTTCCATTTACCACCGTGTAGCCTAAGCTTCTAATATAACTTAACCTTAGCTGTTCTATCTTATTTCCTGTTTCTCTCCAACCCACACTGTTTTAGTTAGGCTGATTGCCTCATTATTTTTCCCACATAGCTTGCCCATTCTCACTGATTATTTATTCTATTCTGTAGTCTGAATGCCTTTCCTTATTGCCTGTGACTCAAATCCCATCTTTTATTATGAAGTCTTCCTTTTGGCCAAAATGAATCTTTCCTTTCTTGGAGCTCTAGAAGGAATTTTTGTCTGCATAGTATATGGCTTATCACTTTGTTTACTCTCTTATCCTCTGTGGGGTTTTACCTGGGCGCAGCTGGTTTTTCTTTTCAATTAGATTTAAGCTCCTTGAAGTTGAAGAGTACATACTTTTACTTGCTTCACAATGCTTAGTACAGCGCTTTGCTTATGGTATGACCTTCAGGTTCATTTTGTGAACATATGCTTTTAGTCTCAAGGAAATTCAGAAGAATATAAATTGTTCGGGATATTCCATCACAACTGCTGTGAAAACAGAACCTCACATGGAGGGGATCAGAACTGATCCTTTTTTTAACTTGGATGACAGAATGCGGTTTGAGTTCAGCTTCAAATAATTTTTTTAAACATTAGGCTTGGGGTCTTCAGAGACAAGAAAATACGAAAAGGGTTATATGTAGAACAAGTAAAAGTTCTTTTTTCTATAATAAAAGGAAAATCCAGTCATTCTGTGATGGTGTTACTGGGTTAATAAGAAGAATCTTTTTCCTCCATGAATATTCTATTACAATCATTAAAATAGAACCTAGAAAAGACATTCACAATCCCATGAGTCCTTGGGTCTGAAATACTTGTTAATTAGAATAAATTAAATTAAGTTAAATTTCTTGTCTGTCCCTTGTTTACAACTAATTCATGGGTTACAGGCTTGCAGCATTTAATGCTACCCTATCATTGAACATTTAGTCTCAGTGGCCTTCTCTGACACTAGTCTCTGAGTTTACCTAACTTTGAGCATTCCTTAGTCTTCTCTTACGATTTCTCTTACTTTCTGCTCCCTGCCTGTCATTTTCTCACAGTGTCTGTCCTTGCTTCAGCCCTCTTTTCTCCTGTGTCAGTCTTACTCCCTTTTGTGGCATCATTTTTGAGTCTGACATATATGTAGCAATATGGATCGGGGTGCCTCTTACTAGCTTTGACCCACTCTGGAGCTCTAGTCCAGCATTTACAGCTCTCTGCTGACCATGTATCCTGGATGCCCTGGTCCAATAGATACTCAATAAACATGTAGTGAGTGAGTGAGTGAGCAAGTAAACAAATGAATGAATGGATAGTGTTCTGATAACACTTAAATTCAATATTGCCAAAGTTGAATTATTTTCTCCTTCGATCATGTTCCTCTTGCTGGGTTTATTTTTTTTTTTTTTTGTCTGCTAACAATATCAAATACCTCCAACAAACAAAAGTTAAAGCAAATCACTCATATGTATTTACTGGACTTTTTTTTTTTTTTATTTGAGACAGAGTCTCTGTCACCTAGGCTGGAGTGCAGTGGCGTGCTCTCGGTTCACCGCAACCTCTGCCTCCCAGGTTCAAGCGATTCTTCTGTCTCAGCTTCCTGAGTAGCTGGGATTATAGGGGCCTGCCAGCACTCCCGGCTAATTTTTGTATTTTTAGTAGAGATGGAGTTTCGCTATGTTGACCAGGCTGGTTTTGAATTCCTGACCTCAGGTGATTCACTTGCCTCAGCCTCCCAAAGTGCTGGGATTACAGGTGTAAGCCACTGTGCCTGGCCTACTAGACATTTTTAAATAGCCTATAACTTGCTAGAAGCTAGAGATACAAAAATGAATAAAATTTCCCCACCTTAAGTAGCTTAATTGTTAAAAGGGAAATATATATGCTCATAGATAAGTACAGTACAATAGTAATTATCCAGTTTGCTTTGCTAAAGTTAATGGCAAAATGATTCACATGAAAGTGCAGTATAGAAAGCTGGGAGTTATACTTAACATTATTATGAATTGAATGAATCCTGTCAAATTTCTGACTATCACTTTATTTCTCCATCTCCTCTCCAAGGTTGAAAACTTCTTATCTTTCTCCTGGGCTATTCTATTGGCTTCCTTCCTGCTTCCAGCACTAACCTCCATCCCATTTTGCAGCTTCCTTTCTGTTGTTCTGCAAATCATTCAACAACCATTTATTCCAAGTCCACTACCACTGCAATAGGTACTGGGAATCCAGTGCCTCCTATGATTCCTAGGCTTCTGGCTTGGATGACTTGTCTGATGATGTGCCGTTCATTGAGATGAAGATTATAGGCGAGAAAGAGGCTTAGAAAAGTAACGAGGGAAGGTAGAAAGGAAAAGAAAGATGATTCAGTTTTAAACATGCTAATTTTGGGATGCTTTGAGACAATGTTAAATGGAAAATTTGATATACAGGGCCCCAGGAGATAGAGATATCTATTGGATTGATATTCATGTATAGATTGCCCTTGAATCTAATGGATGAGGTCACACAGTTGGACTGTATGTTTTGAGAAGGGCAGGGACAGAACCCTGAGAGATGCCAGTATCAGAAGAGAGATTTATAAGCTCTGATATTCTGATCAGATTGTTTCCACATTGTCAGATAAAGTTTATACTCCTTTGAATTATGTACAAGGCACTTTTTGATCTTTATATTATATGCAAAGCACTTTTTGAGCTGGCCCTTAGCATCTCTTTCCAACCTGATCATTTCTTGTTCCTTTGCTTTGCCTTGGAAATGACTTTTCTAAGAACTCTTTTGTGGTACAGTTTCAAATTTCTGTACCTTTGCACTTGTTCTCATTTAGTATTTGTTCACCTTTGTATTTTTGGTGAATGCCAACTGATATTTTTAAATTGTAGTAAAATACACTTAACATAAAATTTACCATTTTAACCATTTTTAAGTGTATAAGTGACATTAAGTACTTCACATTGTTGTGCAACTATCACCACCATCCATCTCCAGAACTCTTTTAATCTTGCAAAAGTGAAACTCTGTACCCATTAAACACTAACTCCCCATTCTTCCCTCTCCCCAGTCCCTGGAAACCATCACTATGTTTTGTGTCTCTGTGAATTTGAGTGTCCTACTCTCGGTATCTCATAAGAGTGGAATCATATGTACTTGTCCCTTTGTTACTGGCTTAAAGTAACTGGCATAATGTTTTCAAGTTCTTCGATGTTGTATCATGTGTCAGAATTTCCTCCTTTTTAAGGCTGAATAACATTCTATTGTATGTGTATGAATACCGCATTTTCTGTCAGCACATTCATAAAACCTAGCTCAAGCCTGACATTCTATTTGAAGCCTTTGCTGAGGCAAAATGGTTTACTTACTCCTTTGTGCTATCATCATGCTTCCCCCTACTTTTCAAAATAGTACTCATCATACTCTGTGTTTTTGTTTATATGCCATTGC